CACACACACACATGAGAGCCGCCGTGCAGCACTGGGGACCACGGTCGTACGCCACACGGAGAGACAGCACCGCGCGCGACGGAGGACCGCCGAAACACTGCCCCGCGCAAACGCATCGGACAAGCGGCCGAAGATGCGCCGCAAATCGCCGGCACACCGCACACGCCTCGTTCAGCCGTCTCCATGGCGTCTGGTCACAGTCTTCCTGCAGCGGGCGCCGTATCTGGCGGCCTCCGGTCCAGCCGCGCGTGTCCCCGCTCCCGGACGAGGTGGCCGGCCTCAGCCTGCAACGCGGCGCGCTCTGCCGGCCCTATCGCACGAACGCCAGCCGCCGTCTGCCCCGATGACATCACACGCACCGCGGTGCCGGCTGCGGTCTGCCGCCGCCCGTCCCCATTCGTCACGTGTGACGTCACCGCCCGTCTCTGATGACGTCACACACGCACCGTCTCGCTGTCGTGCCGTTCCGCCAGTGCAACACTGAACTCCGCGTCCGCCGCAAAAAAGTATGTGTCGTGTGGTGCACTCCTGTCACGATCCGTGCAGCGTCAACGAGGTGAAGGTGTACGCGGAACGCGATATGAGAGATCGTATATCGTTCCGTATCACGCTGAACATGTCAATAAAACCATGTATGTTTGCATGTTTCGACACATACTATCTGCATGTCACTTGTAAATTGAACCTTCTTCATTAAACATGCAAGTCAAGCCGCAAAAACCCATGAACTCAGTCATTCTTGCAATCGCAGTCACCTTAAACTCTTTCCAGACTGCTCCGTTCGTGGACGTACGACGAGGGAGGTTCAGCCTTTCTGTGACGTCAACTCACGGCATATCTGATCGGTCCCTTCCCTTATTGTCTTTGCAACGCTCTGCACGCCGCCGGGAGCACACTTCTGCGCGAGAGCAGCCCTGCCAGATCTGAAAGTACGCGACTTCGCAGAGCACATTCAATACAAGTCGTGACTACGCTACCCGGTTCACCTATTGTTTTAAGCATGCGAATGCAGCAGCCACAACTCACAAGCGACGTCCACTCTCTCACCGACTGCGGCGAGAAAACAAAACACGGCCGACGCTCGCCGCCACCCACGACTTCGCGGCTATAAGCCCCGCTGTTGACATATGAGCCAAAGCAGTGCGTGCGATCCGCAGAGACATCAGTATAGCTGAACTCAGCAGGAACACCGCGCTCCGAGGTCACGCCAGACAGCAGATGGTGTGGGCCGGGCCCTTCCGTCGGATCCCGTTACCCAGCACCTCCATAAAGACTGAGCACTGATTAGGTGCGGTATGCACAGCACCAGGAATCCAGCATCAGCCCGGCGCCAAGAGACACACCACCCGACGAAGCCTACACCGGACCGGTTCCGCGCAGATGTAGCAACGCTCAAGCCAGCTGATTGTGCGGCACGGGCTTGGACAGGTGTCCAACTGTGGAGCTGTTCAGACAGGCGGCTGCTTGTCATTTGCTCCCATGAAAACATCGCAGTGCATTCGAAACAGTGAGCAAAATGTGTGCGACAGGGCCTCACCACCGGTACGTCAGACAGTTTTGTTTACAGAGCTGCATCAAACCGTGGTCTACATCAACGGCGCATGGCAAGCACGTCAAGCATTAAATTGCTCATAGCGCTTGGGCGATAACGTTTATTGCACCGAACGTCCAGTTGAGCGCAGCACAACTGCCCAATCCGGCACACAGCAGCCCCGCCTCGTGTTAAAAGTTGGGGCTGTGTTGTCTTAGAATGAGCCCATTTCCACGCGACGCTGGTAGGCGTAGTGCGGAATTCTGCACCGTAAGGCGGACTTGCCCGATCCATCTCCACAGCAACCCGGAGCGCAGTGTGCTCTTCCAAGGTTAGGGGATAGGCGTAACGCGCAGCCCGTCCACCCAGCCCGCAGTCCGCAGAACGTGCAGTGCCGAGGCGGCACAGAGCAACCATGGGACCATTCAGACCAGCAGCTCACTTCGACCAGCTAAACCAACGGATCAGCCAGACCAACGAATCCGCCAGACCAACGGATCAGCCGTATCAACGGATCAGTCACACCAACGGATCAGCCAGACCAACGGATCTGTCAGACAACGGATCAGCCAGACCAACGGATCAGTCACACCAACGGATCGGCCAGACCAGCCAGCGCAGGGGCCGGCCTGGTGCGGCCCCGCGGCGCCACCCACCGGCGATGATGCTGTCCATCTGCTGCAGAGCTGTCTCCAGCATGCGACTGGCCTCCTCGTGGTGGTTGGTGTCGCCGCCGCGGGTCGCCATCAGGTTCGGTTTGTCGCCACGCCGTGACGCCCCACCGTACACCATCTGACCGCTCGGGCGCCGGCCGGTCGCGGCTCGCTCGACCTGGGGAGGGACGGCCGGAGTGAGGCGCACGCCGCTACCCGCTCCGCTCGGGCGCCGGCCGGTCACGGCTCGCTCGACCTGGGGAGGGACGGCCGGAGTGAGGCGTACGCCCCTACTCGCTGCACTCGGGCACCGGCCGGCCGCGGCTCGCTCGATCAAGGGAGGGACGGCCGGAGTGAGGCGCACTCCGCTGCCCGCTGTGCACCCACTGGTCTCCGCTCCGGTGGCCGACACACTGCGGAGCGACGACCACCGCTACCCACCAATCGCACACAATCTGCTACATTTCTTTGACGGACGACCGGAATTAATGAGAGGGGAACGGTAAAAAAGACCGGGCATTGCATGCAGCACAAAGCCAGGTGTGACTCACTGGTGATCCAGGCAAGAGTA